AAAAAAAAAAAAAAAAAAAAAAAAGAAAAAAAAAAAAAATAAAGAAGAAAGGTGAAAGAAGAAACCGGGAGGGACTGGGGGGGGGGGGGTCTTATAACTATTTAGTGAATAGTTTATAAACAAAGTGCCAAAAATGAGGCTAATAGAATGCCTTAAAGATTTCAACAGCACTGCAGCTTCAAACATTCCTTGGAACTGGCAATGGTGGTATGAGGAAAATACATCTTTGGGTGAAGGAAGGAAGTTTTAGAGGCCTCAGATGAATGGGGTTGCCTGAATAAAATTGAAATATAAAGGAATGTGAAGCATCCTTGAAGCTGGCTGGTTGTAAAGAATTTATCCTACTGGTTTGAACTGGGCTGGTTATAAAAAGCCTCATCTCAAAGGCTTATCACAAACATCCCAACGTACAAGACATCTGTCTTGCAGTTCTTCCTGGCATTTGGCACCTTGAACTAACTTGTTTCTTCCTCTTAGTAAGGCTATTATTTTCCTTGAAGATAGTAGACAAGAAGAGGGGTAAATACACAATGCTTCTGTCTTGAAGGAGGATGAGAGAAGAACGGGGGCAGAAAAATAACTTGAGATTTATTGCTTATTGATGTATGCCTGCATCATCACCTGTATATGTATGCATGCATTTTTTCCCATTCCCCTTTTCTGAAATTTATAAATATCAGTGTATCTCTTTTGTCTGCAGGGGAGTGTCTCCCATGAACCTTTGGTGGGGTCCCCTCCAGTGCACACTGTCTAATAAACATTGTAGCGAAGCCTTGATTATTTTGCATTTGAGTCCTGCATTTTGATTCCACAGAAACTGGTGTTAGAAGTAGGATTCACAATCTTCAAGCTGTGACCAGAGATGACAGCAGGACACCCTTCAGTGTGGTGGTGAGCTTGATCCCATGTCCCTTCCTGCTGCCATATAAAAACACATGTAGGTGTGTGTGTAAGGCAACAGTCTGTCTAAAAGTCTATTTTGGCTAGGGAGGTCTGTTGAATGCATGGCCATGACAAACTCTCAGCCACACCTGGCCTTCCTGTGAGCTTAACAGTGAAGGGAGTCCATAACACAAGGGGGAGTTTGGTCTTGGCAGCGTGACTGTGTTCCTTCTGTGCTGAGCAGAGGCTGACCCCAAGAGTCTGCTCAAATTGCCTTTTCCTGTTGTTTTTCCTGAACGAAGTTGCCTTAAGCTGCTAATAGGCAGGGAGGGAAGTATTAACGGTGGTTGGGCAGACTGTGAATGGGGCCTCTTTGTTTTCCCTTTAAAATATCCTGCCATGTACCCACCCTGGTCATCAGTCTTAGGACCACACTCGTGCCCCCATACACTGTGAAAGAAAAAGAGGGAGTGAAAGTATGAGGGATCATGGGAAAGCTGATCATCCCTGGTCAAGAGCAACCCATTATGTGAATCTAAAGGACCAAAATAATCTATGTAGGAAGAGAGAAACAGTTAAGAGACAAACCTCCAAATTTCTCAGACGTGAGCAGTGATTGAATCAGTTAAGTAAATCTGAAAGTGTTATGTTAGAATCTCTGGGAGGAAAGAGAAGAGAAAAAGAGAAAAATGGGTAATTTGCAAACAAAGCATGCTTTGAAGGAGCCGCCTGTTATATTTATGCAGCAAAAGTTTGGCTCAGAAGTGATTAAATATATGGAACAATGCCATAATGGTACGAAGGGCTACTGCAATACTCAGTGGCCACTTTGGGGAAGTTGGGAGAAAACCAGACTAGAAAGAGTTAACAAATTTATTTTGAGTCTCCCGCCCAAAGAGAGAGCGATCTGGACCACAGAAAGCAGTAAAAGAGAGCCAGTTCAGTCTAGCGGTTAGGTAAAGCCAGCAGCTGGAACCATGATTGTCAGAAGCTGCAGTCAGAAGTACAGGCGGACAGACAGGAAAGAGTTAGCAGTAAAAGCGGAGAGACTATTGGCAAAAAGTTAACAACAGAAACGAAAAAGCCTCACTTTATCCCCAATTGTCAGCTAACAAATTAACTGAGGAGAGAGCATTAAGTTTAACACGATGGGAAGACCCTCTCCTGGAACATATGCTGACCACCCCTCTTCGTAATCAACAAAGGGAAGTCTTGCAAGAGGCCACTTGCTCAGCCAGCTGTTGAGGCAAGTGTGGGGGAAGGAGCTGTCCCCGCCTCACAGTCCCCAACTGGACCAGCAGATGCTATTAGTAGCAGTCCTGTGGCTAGTCATACTAGATCTCAGACTCAATTATATCCTATGAGGCAAGTTCTGAATGGCATGGGAGAAATCATAGAAGTAGACATTCCCTGGAATCCCTTAGAATGAGAAGCTTTCCGAAGATGATTTCCACTCATCCATGAGAACCCAGCCAAATTCAGGGAAGAATTGGTGCTGTGCATTGACACGTATCGTCCAACACATGCTGATTTTAAAATGTTAATTTCTCATATTCTGCCAACTACTGCAGCAGCCAGAATTTACAGACAGTCTGACTGGCCAGCAGAGGCTCCACAGGTTGAAAGCGGAGCAGACAATCTTGAGCAATCACTTACAAATGGACATTATTTTGCTGATGCTATTACAATTATTTATCCAGCTATAATGGACTGGGCTAGAAATACTGAAGTAAAATAAAAACTGGATGAAAATCCTGGTGATTTTTATGAGAGGCTGATTAACACCTTTAAGAAACACGGGGGAGCTCAGGACCTCGAAACCAATATGCCGAATGCTGTTCGCAGGACTTAGTAAACCAGCTGTAGCCATGCCTGGGAAATAGAGTAAGAACCCATCTTCAGGGATGGGAGAGTAAGTCTCTCAATGAACTCAGGGAGGAAGCCAGTCATCATTGGTGTCAGAAAATGCATCACGAGAAAAAAGAAAAGCATAAAGTCAGAATAGCTGCATTGCAATTGAGTATGGGTCAAGGGCCCACCAGAGATCCTCAAGACAAATATGTATATGACAGAAGGAGAAGGTATAGATGGAGATGAAGCATGAGGCAAGGAAGCTGAGGTTTTCAGAATCAAGGATGGCACTGGGATGTTTTCTTTTTGGAAAGCAAGGCCACTGGCGAAAGGACTGCCTTCAGAATCAGGCCCCTGTGAGACTCACTGCCACTGTTCCCACTGAAAATTTATTCAATTAGGGGTGCCCTGGGAGGGCAAATGTGACTCCTCTGAGGGTCACAACCAGTCCAGGAAAGGGTGCAATTGGCACACCAGACAAATGTGTGCAAAGGCCCCTCTAGCCACAGCTGCCACCTGATCCTCAAGCAAGAGCTGTGACTCTAGGAGGAACTCAAATTGCACATGAACTCAGTCCAGAGGAGTGCCACCCATCCAGAATCAGAGATGAAATATCATCTATTTACAATATATGTTATAGCTCCACCTTCACACACTACATTTGCTTCAGTTCCAGCAGGACCATTTCTTTCCTAAATGGGAGTCATTTTCCCCCAGTCTTCCTGAGGATCTTTAGATAAATGAGTCTTCAGCAAACACTTGCCTGATCCTATTGGTGTATCCTTAGGAGAAGAAGCCCCCACAATTGTTGCACAGCCAAGCATTTCACTGACCCTGGTGAATGGGAAAATTTTAACTGATCAACTTAGCAGGTCAACAATATGATTGAGACAGATGGCTCCTGAGGTCCAGTCAAGCATGCCACCAACTTCATTTCAACTGATATTTAAAACCTCCAATCTAGAATTTGGCCTATTAATAGATGAGGAAATGGAGACTTGGAGGTTGAGACACCTGACCCTGTCTGTTTTCATTGTAAGAAACTCTGACATTGTAAATCTCAGTGCCAGAAAGTAGATACAATATTCACACACACACTTCTACACTTAAACTCCCAGGCATCCACATCAACAGATTTTCAAACTTGTACAACCACCATTTGAACGTGACTTTCTAGTGTAAATCTTTAATCCTGCTCTTTACTATTAGGACACTTGGGACCCCCATTCCACTAGCAAAGAGTGCATTTTTATAAAGGTTGATCAATATGGTTCTTTTTCCTGTTTATCTGTCACTAGCCAGAAAACTTCTTTCTTAAAAAATACTTGAAGCAACAGATTCTCTTCTAGAAAATTCTTCCTTTTCTGACCTTCCTACCTCAGGGAAATCTATACATGTGCTTGGGATAGAGAGAAACTCTGCTTCTTATTTCCTCACTGAACCTGCTAAAATACAGTTTGGTCCTATGACCATGGAACATGCTTTTGTATTCAACGAACACACTAGTGAATTTATGTCTGTACCTGTCAGCCCCACTAGATAAACCAGACCATAAAATCAAGTCAGCAGGAAGGCCAAAACTACTTTTATTAAGATTGGCTATAATGA